AAATTTTACAAGTTTCAAAATTATGAGTTCGAAGGTTTATGTGTTTGGAAGTTTACGGGTTTAAAATTATAAAGTTTACGGGTTCGAAATTCCGCAGTATTGAAAGTTTAGTGGTTCGAAAGTTTATGAAATTTGTGGTCTGAAAGGTTGTTGGTTTGAAAGTTTATGGCTCTATGTTTATTATATCTAAATTATTTATGAATACTCTTGAGAAGTTATTTTCCTTAATTTGGGTACCAAATACCGAAAACAAATAAGATCAAAAGATCAAAAGACACCCCTAATTAAGAATCTTAATTTGCGTTATACCAAACACACCCCTAATTACCAGCTTAGTCAAATAACACCAGATCAAAAGATCACTTTGTCTTTTCAACATTTTCTAAGGACCAAAAATAGACTTTTAAGATTCTTAGAGTAAATCACTAAATTAATATTTGAACTAAAAATTTAAGCGTAAATAATCACCACTCAAACAATTTTAATTTTAGTCAACGGTTAACTTCGAATTCCAATCACTAAACAAGAATTAAATCCTCAGAAATTGAAGAACTTCGATTTTCTTGGTGAAAAAAAGAGTTGGAGAATGAAACATTAAGGATATCAACGGGGCAGGTGAGGGGCAAGTTTGGCAAAACTCACAAAATTTCAACTCGCCCCGTCTCCCATAGTTATTTTTTCAGTTTTCAACTCGTCCTATCCCGCCCCACTTAATTTTTTTTCTTTTTTTTTTGTTTAATTTTTTGCTAAAACAAACTTGTTTTACATGTTATTATTTTATAAAATTGAGAGTTTAATAGAATTACATACACATAAAACTGAGAGAGTATTGCATTGATCTTCCAAAATAAACGGGTTACTATCATTTCCTATTACTAATACGATATCTTGATTTATGTAATATCATTCTGGTGTGACGTATGTAAATTGGTTAATTATAAATCAAAATAGTATTCCTACTAGTGAACAAGAATGTGAAATTACTTCTGAAATGATTACTTTATTTCAAAAAAGTTAAAAATTCAAAGTTGTACCGCATTGAACCCGCAACCCGTCCCGCTTTAAAAAATTTAAAAATTATTTTAACCCGCAGTGTCCCGCCTCGCACCCGTATAAGAGTAAACTCGCCCTGCTTCGCATCAAACAAAACCCTTCCGCTCTGCCCCACTGCCATCCCTAGAAACATAAGAAGAATGAAAGGGTAAAAACATACAACAACAATGCACATAAAATCAAATGAGTTTATTTTCCTAACAAAGCAAAAAAATGGGCACAAAAAATTATATACCACTACGTTATGGGGAAAATTTGTGTGGTATTATCATTTTTAGCCCACTTAAGAAATTATTTATATTCAGTAGTCGCAAAAAGTGTATAAAAATGTATATAACATACAGAATATATATATATATATATATATATATATCTTTTTGAATATTATTTTGAAAGCGGCTATAAAATATCATTTTCCCAATTTTAATCACCAAGTTTGAAATACATAGTGCTCCGCAAATATTTTAATAAATGTCCAAACATAAGGGACTAATGTCGGACCATTTTCTCCAAAATAAAGCTCTATATATATATATATATAATATATATATACACACACTAGCAAGGTAAGCCCGTGCTATGCACGGACCCAATATAAAAGTACCTGCCCAACATGATTAATATGGCTATATAGATTTAGCTAATGTCGTTCACTATAAGATTGTGTAGAATGCTAGAATGTTATACACCACCACCACCACCACCACCACCACCAACAACAACAACAACAACAACAAGATTGTGTAGATTTAGCTATATATGGCTATATAGATTTAGCTAATGTCATTCACTATAAGATTGTGTAGAATGCTAGAATGTTATACACCACCACCACCAACCAACAACACCAACAACAACAACAGGTATTATAGAATCACATACAAAAGGTATTTTATGTACCATTATTTTAATTATAATTATCACACAAACTTGGGTCTTGGGAGAATGAAAATTAATAAAACTTCTAAAGTTGATGCAAGTCCCTTTTTTGTCCATCTAAAATCAGCCATTTCAGATCTCAAGTCGTGCTATGGAAATTTTTGAGGATGAAAATATTTGACCTTTTCCTCCCGTGATGGAGTAACCTGTTGAAAATATATCAAGTTGTGTAACTGCAAGCAGTTTTTTGTCTTTCGTCCAAAATGCAGGCAACGGCAGCTCTATCTCTAGAAGTCAATGTAGTATTCAACCAAATGATATGGTAGTAAGCAGCTAAACAGACCATAATCTCAGCAACAAAAACATCTGTAACGTTCCTTTCAAGGTTGAAAGTGAAACTAACCTGATATAATGAGAAATAAACTTTTGTATTATTTTTCAATCTTCACAGTGGTTGGGAAATGTTTATTCCTAATCTTCGTTGAACTATTTTCTCCTTCTCCGGTGCTTGATCAGATACTGAAACAAATCTAAGCTAAAGTATCATTTAAGGGTATGCAAAGAGGAGGGGAAAAAAAAGCAAAGGGATGTCCTATATGCTATTTACTTTTGCTTTTTAATATGACATTGATACTTCTAGAGTATGGTGGGAAAAAAAACTTAAAGGGTATAAAAGGTTCATTAATATGTTATTAATATTTAAAGGGCAAATAAAGTTGGTTTATTCTGAAAGTTGATTAGCAAAAACTAAAAGGAGGCTCACCAAAATCTCTCCAAATTCCTGCATCATACAACAAATATTGTCTTATTGAATGATCTAAAATAGGATAAAATCATCTACATACCAACCTTCATTTGAATGTGAGGANGAGGCTCACCAAAATCTCTACAAATTCCTGCATCATACAACAAATATTGTCTTATTGAATGATCTAAAATAGGATAAAATCATCTACATACCAACCTTCATTTGAATGTGAGGACCTTTGCAGTTGTCCCCACAAAAGTGCATGCTTTATTATCTAGAGAAGTGATTTGATAATAAAAATGCACAAAGAGCATATGTTTGGAATTTAACCCGATTCTAATTTCCACGGAAGCAACCGAACATCAAGAAAGATATACCTGATGTTGCATATAAAAGGACTGCTATTCTGTTATCCTACATGATTTTACACTGCCAAAGTTAACAATTTTAATGTGTCCATCTGCAGCACGTAGCAAGTTTTCTGGCAGCCATAGATATAAACTCAAAACTTTCCTAATATATTTCATTGACAAATGTGTCCAGGTAATAAAAGTACCTTAATATCTCAACGAATCATTCCCATATTATGTATGTATTCAAGAGCATGCGCAACTTCAGCTGCATAAAGACATGCACAAACCAGCAGAATCGGAACCTTTCTCAATTAGTAGATCACCAGTATTAGATGTAGTACTCTCAACAACATAGTGATTCATGTTGCACCCTTAATGCAAAACATGACCCAATATTGCACAGAATCTAAGAGTTAATATTTTTTTGTAGTCTCGCGTATTATTGATCAAAGATATCTAATGAATTGACAGACTTTAAAATATTCCTTTCTAATAAAAAATCAAACATGTTATTGTCATAAAAATCTAATCAGATACATAAGTAAAGCAGAGATAAGTAATCATGTACCTGATGAAATTGCAGAAACACATTTGCAATCTAATGACACAACAAATAGAAACATGATGTCAATAGCATATATAACTTAAGGATTTGGTGCTTTTCAATAAATGAATATGTACCTTCATAAACCAAAAACCTTTGGGCATTTTTGGTGAATTAGAAATTAACATAAATATCTAGTGCAAAAAGATAACTCAACACAACATACATGACGTTATATGCAGAATGAGTTAGCAAACAAGGAACAAAGCAGGAGGCAGACTTGAATTTTTACCCTTAGCCAATGCTATAGCTTTGAATCAAGTAGTAAACTGAGATGCAAATGGTAGATAGACGTTGATAGTTTGTCTAAGAGGCTAGTTTGCTTACACTAAAGTTGGGGCCTTATGTCCAACTTTAGGGGTTTTGCTTCTTTACTTGTACATATATTTTCCCTGATAATAAAACTTTCTTAATTACCAAAAAAGAAACGATAACTCAACCTTAGGCCTAATGGCTCCCTTACTCAAAATTTTACTCTAGAATGCCTTGAAATAGGCATATATTAACTTGCAACAGTAGGCCCAATTTAAAAGTCGGTAAATGGCATAAAATAGAAAATACCATCAACAATGTACTGATAGATGCAACAAAGAATATTTAAAATTTATATATCAGCAGTCCTTTATTTTTCCCCTGCTAATCAATCCAATCGCACTGTTTCATTTGTAATGTTTCGTCTCAACAGACTAATGTTATAGGCTAGAATGGTGGATCACAAGATAACTTTTCCATTACCATTTGTGAATTAAAAGGTTTCACCAACCAGACATTAGTTATTATATTAGGCTTTTAGCTCATGATGCATCTAAAGTGCAGTAACCTTAGAAGCACTACAAAATAGACAGAGATCTCTATTAAATTGGATCATAAAATGCTTTAGTTTGATGAATTTTTTATCAAACAATTGAAGATTTTATTGTAGATAAATAAAAAAGAAATAGAAACAATACTTGATAAGACATGCTTGACATTTTATTGATCAATCAGTAACTGGTGAAAAAATGAAGCTTAAAGTAACAAATTTGTCATGTAAGCTACTTGCTTCTAGGTCAAAGCATACAGAGATGCCAAATGACATTCAATGTAATACTTTACCAGGTATAGTCACCCTACATATTTCCCGTACCAAAGAAACAAACATAACTGAAAAATATTCCTAATAAACAGATTTTTTAGTTTACTGTGAACTATTTTTACATAAAACATACAATTAGAACGTAAGGAAAATCATAATTGGTGAAAAAATTAACAAATGTATGTTTACGTCAAAGAAAACCCACTTTAAATATCAAAGTCTAAGTTTCTCTTAAAATGAAAAACTACACTTTATTCTTCATACTACAACTGGAGTTAGTTTAAGCACGAATCTTTTATGAACTTTACCAGTAAACTCTCAATTAACATAACATCAAAAGATCAAATTAGCTAACCTTTGTCCTATTCATGTAATAGCATCTCTTATGCGGAGAAAAAAGTCTATTGAATTCGGATCTGATAGGAGTGACTAAATTATATCCACCACTTCTAGCTCTGGGTTATTTTATGGCACAGACTTGACTTTACTTGAATAGAACGAAAATTCACGATGCGCCTAAAAATATTAGTTAATGACAAGGACCACTATCCTTAGAAGCCATTTCACCCAAAAATTACTAACAACAAAAACAAATATTTATTCTGATACATGCACCGACTATCTATTCCGAAAAATTCACAGCAAAAGAGATACCAATTAAATGTTGACCTGCATGTAAGAAATTCAACAAAAAATCCAAATTATAAAGAAACCAAATCAGATCTATCAAAATCTCATCACCGGGAAATGGGTGCAACGAAAAATGGAAGAGAACGAAGTAAAATTCACCAAGTCACAAGTATAGCAGTGTAAGACCCAACGTCATAAACAAACACATACCCATCAACAAAAGAATTTCACAAATTGAAAGGTCGAAGAATGGAGAAAAACATAGAAGAAAGTTGAGATACTCACGGCCAGAGATGGGTCTTTGAAGCAGCGAATGAGGGAGAAGTTGTGAACACTAAAGTTGAGCAGACTGAACTACTACTATAGCCGAATGTAATTGTGGTTTTGTTAAATTAATTGTAGGATACGTGTCCCTCTAAGAAGACATGGATAGAATTATCAATTTACCCTTAAAATGTTCGAACGTGTTCGTACACCATAAGTGCTGTTTCTAAATAATAAAAATAGTAATATTGTTATAAAATAAAGACTTTAAAGTAAACACAAGTATAGAGAGAAACTGATATATTATTCGAATTTAAATTGATGTACATAATGAACTGAAGTCACTTCTATTTATAGAAGAAAGGAAGTTGTTGTGTAAGCTGTTGTTGTAAGCTGTGTAAGCTGCTGTGTAAGCTGTTGCTGTAAGCTGATGTGTAAGCTACTACGGTAAGCTTCTGTGTAAGTTGCTATTATACCGGGTATGGATAATCTTCTACCGGAGATAATGTTTATCCATAACCGGGTACCAAAGTGATAAGTTTCTTCAGGAAGCTGTTGTGTAAGTTGCTACACAAACTGCTGTGTAAGCTGCTATTATACACAGTATGGATAATCTTCTACCGGAGATAATATTTATCCATAATCGGGTACTAAAAGGATAAGCTTATTATACCCGGTATGGATAATCTTCTACTAGGGGTAAAGTTTATCCATAACCGGATATTGAAAGGATAAGCTTATTATACCCGATATGGATAATCTTCTACCGTACGTAAAAATTATCCATAACCGGGTACCGAAGTGATAAGCTTCTTCGGGAAGCTTATTTCTAATAGAATACTAAATAGATAAACATATTTACGGCGGAGTCACATATGGATAAGCTTCTTCAGGAAGCTTATTTTCGGCGGAGTATTAAATGAACATTTATAATAATATAATATATTCATAATACTCCCCCTTGGATGTTCATTAAAAGATAATGTGCCTCATTAAAGCCTTACTAGGAAAAATCACGTGGGAAAAAATCCTAGTGAAGGAAAAAGAGTACACATATTTAGTAATACGCATTGCTAGATGCCTCATTAAAAACCTTATAAGGAAAATCTCATGGGAAAAAACCTTAGTAAGGGAAAAAGAGTGCACCACGTATTTTACTCCCCCTGATGAGAACCTTGTTTCAAATATTTGAGTCTCCGCATTCCAATCTTGTATACCATCTTCTCAAAAGTTGAAGTTGGCAAAGATTTAGTGAATAAATCTGCTGGATTATCACTTGAACGGATTTGTTGCACATCAATGTCACCATTTTTCTGAAGATCGTGTGTGTAGAATAATTTTGGTGAAATGTGCTTCGTTCTATCTCCTTTTATAAATCCTCCCTTCAATTGGGCTATGCATGCAGCATTGTCTTCGTATAAAATTGTGGGTCTTTTCTCACATTCCAAACCACATTTTTCTCGAATAAAATGAATTACTGATCTCAACCACATGCATTCTCTACTTGCTTCATGAATAGCTATTATCTCAGTATGATTTGAAGAAGTAGCAACAATAGATTGCTTAGTGGAGCGTCATGATATGACTGTACCTCCATATGTAAATGTGTACCCGGTTTGAGATCGAGCTTTATGGGGATCAGATAAATAACCTGCATCTGCATAACCAACAAGATCTGCACTATCTTTGTTAGCATAAAACAAACTCATATGAAGAGTTTCCTTTAAAAATCGCAATATATGCTTAATCCCGTTCCAATGTCTCCGTGTAGGAGAAGAACTATATCTTGCTAATAAATTAACAGAAAATGCTATGTCAGGCCTTGTAGTATTAGCAAGATACATTAGTGCACCAATTGCACTGAGACAGGGTACTTCGGGACCAAGGAGTTCCTCGTCCTCTTCTAGAGGTCGGAACAGATCCTTATTCACTTCAAGTGATCGAACAACCATTGGTGTACTCAATGGGTGCGCTTTGTCCATGTAAAAGCGTTTTAAGACCCTTTCTGTATAGGCAGATTGATGGATAAAGATCCCGTCTGCTAAATGTTCAATTTGCAGACCAAGACAAAGTTTTGTCTTTCCAAGATCTTTCATCTCAAATTCTTTCTTAAGATATTCAATTGCCTTTTGGAGCTCTTCTGGAGTTCCAACAAGATTTATGTCATCAACATAAACAGCAAGTATAACAAATTCTGATGCCATTTTCTTTATAAAAATACATGGACAAATAACATCATTTATGTAACCTTCTTTCAGCAAATATTCACTAAGGCGATTATACCACATGCGCCCAGATTGCTTTAAACCGTACAAAGATCTTTGTAATCTGATTGAATACATTTCCGGAAATTTTGCTTCGGGCATTTTAAATCCTTCAGGGATTTTCATATAAATTTCATTATCAAGTGAACCGTATAGATAAGCTGTAACTATATCCATTAGATGTATTTTAAGCTTTTCGTGTAGTGCTAAACTAATGAGATATCGAAATATTATGGCATCCATAACTGGTGAATATGTTTCATCAAAATCGACTCCAGGTCGTTGTGAGAATCCTTGTGCAACAAGGCGAGCTTTATATCTTTCAACTTCATTTTTATCATTTCTTTTCGCACAAAAACCCATTTATGACCAACTGGTTTTATACCAGTAGGCGTTTGGACTACTGGTCCAAAGACCTCTCTTTTAGCAAGTGACTTCAATTCAGATTGAATTGCCTCTTGCCATTTTGGCCAATCAGATCTTTGTCGACATTCTTCGACAGATCGAGGTTCAAGATACTCACTATCTTGCATAATATTAAGTGCAACATTATATGCAAAAATATTATCCATCACTATTTCAGATCGATTTAAATTAATTCCATCACCGGGCGAACTTATTAAAAGTTCTTCACTCACATGAGCTTCGGGTTCATTGATTTCTTCAGGAATCTTAGAACTAATCAGATCTTGGGTCTCTTCGGGAGATCCCTTCATGGTATCATTTTGATCATTTACCGATTTTTTTTTTCGAGGATTTAGATCCTTAGAACCCAAAGGCCTATCACGCTTCAGGCGTGCTTTAGGTTCACTAGCTCTCATGCTAGTAGAATGTCCTACTGGAACATCAATTCGGATAGGCACATTCTCTGCAGGGATATGTGACTTAGTTATCCTTTTCAAATCAGTAAATGTGTCTGGCATTTGATTTGCTATATTCTGTAAATGGATGATCTTCTGGACCTCCTGATTACATATAGGGGTACGTGGATCAAAGTGAGATAATGATGAAACTTTCCACACAATTTCTCTTTTGATTTCCTTTTTCTCTCCCCCTAATTGTGGGAAATTTATTTCATCAAACCGACAATCTACAAATCGAGCAGTAAATAAATCTCCTGTCAATAGTTTAAGATAGCGAATAATAGAGGGTGATTCAAACCCAACATATATTCCTATCCTTCTCTGTGGTTCCATCTTACTGCGCTGTGGTGGTGCTACTAGCACATATACAGCACATCCAAAAATTCGTAGATGGGCAATATTTGGTTCATGACCAAAAACTAATTGTGACGGAGAATATTTATTATAATGTGTCGGTCTGAGACGGATAAGTGATGCTGCATGCAAGATAGCATGGCCCCAAACAGTAGTAGGCAATTTTGTTTTCATATGTAGTGGTCTTGCTATCAATTGCAGGCGTTTAATAAATGACTCTGCAAGGCCATTTTGAGTATGAACATAAGCTACAGGATGTTCAACTTTTATCCCAACTGATAGACAATAATCATCAAAAGCTTGAGATGGGAATTCTCCAGCATTATCAAGGCGAATAGCCTTTATGGGATAATCTGGGAATTGTGCCCTTAATCGAATTATTGGGGCTAATAGTTTTGCAAACGCTAGGTTGCGAGATGATAGTAGACACACATGAGACCATCTTGAAGATGCATCTATTAGGACCATAAAATATCTAAACAACTCACTTGGTGGGTGAATAGGTCCACATATATCCCTATGTATACGCTCTAAAAAGGCAGGGGATTCAATGCCAACCTTCATTGGTTATGGTTTAGTGATCATTTTGCCTTGATAACAAGCATCACAAGAAAATTCGTCATTTGCAAGAATCTTCAGGTTCTTTAATGGATGCCCACTCGAATTTTCAGTAATTCGTCTCTATCATTATTGATCCAGGATGGCCCAAACGGCCATGCCAAAGCACAAAAGTATTTGAATCCGTAAACTTCTGGTTTACGATAGAGTGTGCTTCAATTGTGCTAATTTTTGAATAATATAAGCCAGAAGATAAAGTTGGTAACTTTTCTACAATGCATTTCTGGCCAGAAATATTCTTTGTAATATAAAGATATTCCACATTCTTTTCATTTATTGTCTCAACATGATACCTATTTCGGTGGATATCTATAAAACTCAACAAGTTTCTTCCGGACTTGGAGGAGTATAATGCATTGTTTATAATAAGTTTTGTTCCATTAGACAAAAAGATAATGGCTCTTTCGGAGCCTTCAATTCGTGTTCAGTGGAGAGGTCAGCCTCCTGAGGCTTCGACATGGGAGTCCGAGTCCGATATGCGGAGCCGTTATCCTCATCTATTGCCCGACTCAGGTACTTCCTTCTTTTGTCCGTTCGAGGACGAACGGTTGTTTTAGAGGTGGAGATTGTGACGACCCAATGGGGTCATCACCGTAAAAGCTCCTTGTTCTGTGCTTCTGAGGCCTTGAAAACCTCTTGAGGAGTTGCCTCGATTTGCGTGCGCAGTCCGGGCGCGAAGCCGAAAAGATTTGTGATTATATAAGTTGAAATCTGTGATTAAAATGCTAAATTTCAAGTATAATATTAATATGGTTGACTCCGGTCAACATTTTGGGCAAACGGGCCCGGACCCGTGAGTTTATAATTTCTAAATATCCGTAATAAAATTTGGGACTC